ATCGTCACTGGTTGGGAAGACTCTCCGTCAGAAGCGTCCGTGACACCTGGTGTGGACACGACGAAGCCAGCCGCAGTGGATACGCACCGAGACTTCTGCGTGGTACGAACGAGAACGACTGCCAAGTGGCAGTTCCGGGTAAGCTGAGAAGCGTCACCCCCTCCACCCGCTGGTGAGTACTGCACGCGCATGCCGTAGAAGGGACAAGACCGTATCTCAGAGAGCTGTGCCGCGAGCATTGCATCCTGGCTCTCGCGGCACTGCTTCAGGATCTCCAAGACGACATTGTAAGACGTATTCGGGGCGTGCGATATCTGAAGCGGTGAAACGGCCACCACAGTCGTGTTGACGAAAGTCCGTTGAGGTGTGTCATCCTGTGCATTCGCAGCCACATTGCGCACGCGTCGTATGATGCGACAATTGCTCAGTGGAGGGAAGGAGATAGCTTTCTCGTCGTGAACTTTTTTGAATTCTTGCATGCTATCAATGCCAGTCAAGGCGAAGGCTGCCGCTTGTGATACACCGACTTTGCACGAGCCACTGAAATCACGAGCAATAGTCGTAAAGAACACGCGCTCGCCTGTGTTCTCCACCACAGAGTCGGCTGGCTCCGGTTCCTCAAGCCTCATCCCATTGACCTGCAACAAGAGTGGCAAGTTTGCATTCGGATCATCCGACGCCATAGCCAAAAAGGCACAGCAGGAGAGGAGTGCTTCTCCGGTGAGAATCTGCGAAGCCTGGTCTGGATCCCAAGTACCCGCATGAGCGGTGGTCAGCTGCTCCCGGTCCATCGCGAAGTCTTGAGTGGCTGCTAAGTCGTGTAGTTGAGTCATTCTGGGACAAGAGCATGCGGAATCCACCACGCGATCTTGCGACAAGTTCAGCTCCAGTTTGCCGTCGAATTTGCCCGCCACGTTGAGAAACAGCAGCGGTTGTCCTTTGTGAGAGCGACAAAGCTCTATGTTGGTGGATCCCCAGACTGCAATCACAGCCTCCGCTGTCTTGGAGTTACTCGTCTGTGTGCCGTCGACCAGATGTACACTTGCCACTGGAGGGTGGCCAGCGGGAGTGCGGGTTTCTGAAACAGAATGAACCACAGCCATGACATCGAAGCAACGCTGCGATTTGATGTTCATCATGTCTGCCACTGTAGTCGCTGGAGCCGGCGCCGATGCCAAGGAGGTCTCCTCCGGAGAGCTTTTGAGCACTGGACTGCAGGTTGTGCGCTTGAGGTCGACCACGACACGAACAGACGTATGCACAAAAGCGTCCTGCTGCCGACTGTCCAGGCCGACGCTGGAGAGTTTCCACGCCGTCATCGGAGGGAACTTTTTCAGAGCAGCTTGGACTTCTGCTGGAGTTCCTTTGAGGATGGCCTCACAATAGTGCTCTGAGTCTGTGCCAAGCAGAATGCATGTGAATCGGTTTGCATGGACTAGCTGGCCATTGTTCCTGCTCTTGTACGAGTACTTGATCTCCCTGGGCTTGTATACTCGGACAAGGAAGTCTTGGGTTTTGGCGCTGCTCTTCGTGAGAAAACCCAGTGGAGACGTCGGCTGTTCTGCAGCAGCAGCCATGGTAGCTCACCCGGAGGATCACCGTGGAGCGCACAGTGACACAGGCTGAGAAGCACCGTGCACGGCACGGTGAGACTGGTTGAGCGGATGCGGACAAGGCTCGCTTTTGCCTCGAACTCCTGCAATCAAAGTTCTTTGAACCAGAACGGCAATGATTACAGAATTGCAAAGTTACAAGTGATGCCTCCACGAAGCACCCCCCCTGTGGAGTCGAGAAAGCGTGTTGCTGTATGTGTGCGTGACTCGATGGATGTGATGTGTGTGCTGTGTGGCCCCGCCCCAAGAAATGTTTCGGCCTCTCAAGGCCCCCCCCGCTCCACGAATCCCATTGGGGGTCGAGATCCCCGCTCTGGTGGGCGGAGACGCCAAAGGCTTCGAAAACCGCGAGGGAGGGAAGGATAAGGGAGAAGAAAAGGACGGAGAGGGAGGGCTCGGAGGCCCTTGGAGGGGGGGATGTGCCCATCCGAGGGAACGGTGCACCCCCCCCTCCCCGTCGTGAAAACGAGGCACCAGCCGTGGCAACGACCCCCCCCCTATCCCCCTCCGCGACCTGAGTAGACCACCCAGGCCAGCGGAGGACGTCATAGGGGGCGGGGGTTCTGACTTCGATGAAAGAAGAGAAGGAAAGAGGGGGGGAGGATCAGGCAGACGAAAGCCCTTTTAGGCTTTACCCGGCGTGTGGAAATGCCCTCTTTGGCTTTTGCGGGGACTAACCCGCGCGGTCGCCCGCAGGCGACAGGGCGCCCAGGCCCTCTCCGCGCGCGCAGGCGCGTGGCAAACTACATGCGCACGATCGCCCGTGGAATCGAATGGAACCGTCCGCGGCGAGTCGTCCGCGGCGACTCAGGACCACGTCGCCCTGGAAGAAGAGGCGCTACAAGGATGCATTCTGCGACGCTGGAGATCCTGATGCGACGAGGACGCTGCAGAGAAACATTCTGCGCGCGTACGCACGACCTGGAACGACAAGCACAATACGGGAACAAATTCGGTGACGCTGGACTCCCCGATGGGACGAAGAAGCAGCAGAGACACGTCTCAAGGCGCAGCAACACCGAAGTGACGCAAACGCACCCCGCGACACGACAAGGACGCTGCAAGAAGAAACTCGGCGACGCAGGAGTGCGTGGAAGCTACAAAGGCATGGAAAGGAAGCTGCGAGGAAACTACAGAGTATTCAAAGCGTCTCGAGCTTAGGGAGCCTTCCTCAGAGCCCTTGTGCGCACGACTCGGGGCAGCCGGCCGCCCTCCCCTCCTGTTCGTCCTCCTCCTCCTCCTCCTGCTCGTCCTCGTCCCCCTCCTGCTCGTCTTCTTTCTCCTGCTCCTCCTCCTCCTCCTCCTCCTCCTCTTTCTCCTGCTCCTCCTCCTCCTTCCTCCTCCTCTTCCTCTTGCTCGTCCTCGTTCTCGTCGTCCTCGTCTTGCTCGTCCTCCTCCTCCTGGTGCTCTCTCCTCCTCCTCCTCCTCCTCCTCCTCCTCCTCCTCCTGGTGGTCCTCGTTCTCCTCCTCCTGGTGCTCTCCCCCCCCCTCCTCCTCCTCGTCCTCCTCCTCCTCCTCCTCGTCCTCCTCCTCCTCTTCCTCCTCCTCCTCCTCCTCCTCCTCCTCCTCCCTCCTCCTCTTCCTCCTCCTCCTCCTGGTAGTCCTCCCCCTCCTCCTCCTCCTCCTCCTCCTCCTCTTCCTGGTCGCCCTCGTTCTCGTCCTCCTCGTCTTGCTCGTCCTCCTCCTCGTGGTGTCTCTCCTCCTCCTCCTCCTCCTCCTCCTCCTCCTCCTCCTCCTCCTCCTCCTCCTCCTCCTCCTCTCCTCCTCCTGGTGCTCTCCCCCCCCCCTCCTCCTCCTCCTCCTCCCCTCCTCCTCCTCCTCCTCCTCCTCCTCCCTCCTCCTCCTCCTCGTCCTCATCCTCCTCCTCCTACTCCTCTTCATTCCTCCTCCCTCCTCCTCCTCCTCCTCCTCCTCCTTCCTCCTCCTCCTCCTCGTTGTGTTCTCCTCCTCCTCCTCCTCCTCCTCCTCCTCCCTCCTCCTCCTCCTCCTCCTCCTGGGTGGTCCTCGTTCTCCTCCTCCTGTTGCTCTCCCCCCCCCTCACTCCTCCTCGTCCTCCTCCTCCTCCTCACTCGTCCCTACTCGCTCCTCTTCCTTCCTCCTCCTCCTCCTCCTCCTCGTCCTCCTCCTCTCCTGGTGTCCTCCCCCTCCCCCTCCTGCCTACTCCTCCTCCTCCTCCTCCTCCTCCTCTCTCGTCTCGTCTCCGCCTCCTTCTCCCCTCTTCCTCCTCCTCCTCCTCCTCCTCCTCCTCCTCCTCCCTCCTCCTCCTCCTCCTGGTACTCCTCCCCCTCCCCTCCTCCTTCTCCTCCTCCTCCTCCTCCTCTTCCTGGTCGTCCTCCTCCTCCTGGTCGTCCTCCTCCTCCTGCTCGTCCTCCTCCTCCTCCTGCTCGTCCTTCTTCTCCTGCTCCTCCTGCTCCTCGTCCTGCTCCTGCTCGTCCTCGTCCTCCTGGTCTTGCTCGTCCTCCTCCTCGTCGTGCTCTTGCCCCTGCTGAAAATGTAGCCCAGGAATGGGAGTTTTGGGAAGTCGAAGAGCACGAAATTGCCTACAGTTGGCTACGGGCATTCAAAAATGCCTCCTCCTCCTCCTCCTCCTCCTCCTCCTCCTCCTGGTGGTCCTCGTTCTCCTCCTCCTGGTGCTCCCCCCCCCCCCCCCTCCTCCTCTCCTCCTCCTCCTCCTCCTCCTCGTCCTCCTCCTCCTCTTCCTCCTCCTCCTCCTCCTCCTCGTCCTCCTCCTCCTGTAGTCCTCCCCCTCCCTCCTCCTCCTCCTCCTCCTCCTCCTCCTCGTCCTCGTCCTCCTCCTCCTCCTCCTCCTCTTCCTCTCCTCCTCCTCCTCCTCCTCCTCCTCCTCCTCCTCGTCCTGGTACTCCTCCCCCTCCTCCTCCTCCTCCTCCTCCTCTTCCTGGTCGTCCTCCTCCTCCTGGTCGTCCTCCTCCTCCTGCTCGTCCTCCTCCTTCTCCTGCTCGTCCTTCTTCTCCTGCTCCTCCTGCTCCTCGTCCTGCTCCTGCTCGTCCTCGTCCTCCTGGTCTTGCTCGTCCTCCTCCTCGTCGTGCTCTTGCCCCTGCTGAAAATGTAGCCCAGGAATGGGAGTTCTGGGAAGTCGAAGAGCACGAAGTTGCCTACAGTTGGCTACGGGCATTCAAAATGTGGCCCGGGAATGGAGTTCTGGGAACTCGAAGAGCACGAAGTGGCCTACAGTTGGCTCCGGGCATTCAAAATGTGGCCCGGGAATGGAGTTCTGGGAACTCGAAGAGCACGAAGTGGCTTACAGTTGGCTCCGGGCATTCAAAATGTGGCCCGGGAATGGAGTTCTGGGAAATGGAAGAGCACGAAGTGGCCTACAGTTGGCTCCGGGCATCCAGAATGTGGCCCGGGAATGGCGTTCTGGGATGTCGAAGAGCACGAAGTGGCCTACAGTTGCATCCGGCCCCCCAGAATGTGGCCTGGGAATGGAGTTCTGGGAAGGCGAAGAGCACGAAGTGTGTGACTGTTGGTGAAAAACGAGCCCGGCTCACTGCCGCCCGGCAACTCCCAACACCTGCCCGGACCCCCCTGTGGAGTGATCTGTTGCTCTCTTTTGATCCCACTAGAAACCTATCAGTCTTCGCTGTTAGGTAACAAGGCGCATCAATGTCCAGAGGACCGCGACACGGCCGCCTTGGCTTCCGAGGTTTCCTTGCGCGTGGGGGCCCACATCCATGAGAATTTTCACGCGGAGAGTAAGTGGTTTGGATGGCGCAAGTTTCTTTTCATCATCAGGCATCCAGTGCAGAGAATTCAGTCGGCGCACTCGTACCACCTCGGGAAAGCGGGTCACTGTTATCGCGACATCAACGGTATGTTGCCGCTCGATGCGGAAGGCGAGTGCGCTGCTTCTGGGGCGATGTGTCTCGCAGGCCTTTCCAAAGGCTGTGGATCCCATCTCGTCCACAATTACGAATACTATGTTAGAATCCTGCTCAAGGTGCTCGCCAAAGACCCGAGCCGGCAGCTCTTTGTCATCCGCAGTGAGCACCGCTGGGATGACTTCAGACGCTTGGATCTCCTCTGGGGTGGCAAAGGCGCTGTCCCGTACGATATCCACATCCGGGAAACCTCAGCAGGTGACAGGAGCCGCAGCGCCGTGAGCCCCGACCGGCTGCCGCTCCTGTGCCGCATCCTGTGCAGGGAGATCTACATGTACAAGTGGACTCTCCTGCTCGCCTCCAACCTCGACGACTCTGCCGTGCGGGCGTCGTTCGAGGAGCTCGCCGCTCAGTGCCCGGAAGCCGCCGCGGCACCCCCCACCCTTCACCATCGCAGCGTGCGCCAGCCCCCTCTCCCGAGCCGCCGGACCGTGCTCAACGGCTCGAGGGCCCAGGTGCTTGAGGGCTGCCTCTTGCCCGAGGTTTGAGACGTCCCCTCCCCGCCACGTTGTGTGCAGCTGTGCACGCGTCCCCTCCCCGGGCCCCTCGAGGAGCCCCTCGGGATGAGTGGCCGGCGCCTGGATCAGAGCGTGAATTACCTACCCCGCTTTCGCTTCCAGGCAAAACCAAGCCATACCACGCGCCTCCTCGTCAAGCGGCCTGACCAGCACAGGCTGCAATTCGGCATCGTTTGGTATCTCTTGGAAGCGAGCGAGGGTGGTCAAAAGCGAGGCAGGTTAACTTTTTCCCTACTGGAGGCAGTTTTTCTCGGGCAGCGACGGAGCGTCCTGGCGTGCCTGTGGGCCTGCGAAGCGATGTTCTACGAACCTTTTGCGGTTTCTACGAAGTGTTCTTAGGACATTTCTGGCTGGGACTGTCTTGTTTTAGCACATCGGGTTCATGTGTTAAGAACGTTGTTTTGGTTCTTAGGACATTTAGGAGTATAAGAACATTTCGTGGTAGGCCTATAGGAATGCCGGGACGGCCGGTCCCTGTTCACCTGGCGATGCTCCAATGTTCTTTTGTATTTCGCTCAGTCTGTTCCGTTTGGCAGTTGTTGACGACGCCACCGCCAAATCAAGCAATGCGACGAGTGGAATTTCGATGGCGAGCGATGATTACGCCAGCCTCTCTCCAAATCTCGATAGCGCGCCGAGGGAACTTAGTGGTTGACCAAAGGGGCCGTCGCCAAAGTACTCGTCGCCAGTGTCAGCATTTCGCATCCAGGGCATTTTTGGGCGGCATCGTCGCCAGACATTAGTTTGCGGCAATGAAGGACTTGATAGTATAGTCGGGGCGCTGAACAAGGAACCCTTTTCGTGGGGGAGGGGCTCCGTGTTCCTTAAGTATGTTGTCCTTAAGTTTTCGATGGATAATCGGAGTTTAGCTTATGGAGAAAAAGGGGTCTCGTTCCATGTTATCGAATCGCTTTGCTCATTCCGCCGGCCCATAGGGAATTATTGTATTCTTGGTTATGGGGCCTCTCTCGGGAGGCTTCTTGGTGGTCGCTGGGGGAATCTTGAACGCGTCGCGGGCCGTCTGGAAGCGTTTTGCCTATGGGGACTCTTTCGGGAGGTCTCTTGGTGGTCTCTTGGGTACTCGTAAACGCGTCGGGTCGTTGGCACTTGCTTGCGTGCTCGGGGGGGCATTTGGGGGGCCTCCTGGGGCCGCTTGGGGGCCTCTAAGGGGCCTCCTGAGGGCCTGTTGGGGGCCTCTTGGGGCCTCTTAGGGTCCTCTTGGGGACAAAAGGGGCCTCGTTCCTTATTTAGGGTTCCTTAGGTCAACGCCCCGACTGTAAAGGGCGTTGGGTTGGCCACGTCATGATTTGCGCCAGCGCCGTCTGAGAATGTTCGGGAATGGCACATTCCCACACTGCGCGGGCTCCATTCGTGACGTGCACAGGGGTGGGGGGTGAGGCGTGACCAGTCCGGGGCATTATCGCGCATAGCAAGCAGAGGGGCTCTCGGGGAATGGGTCGAGAGAGCATCGGGAGCCTGTGCTTGACGAAACCGAGGCGCTGGACGCCTGGGCTCGCCAGAGTGGCCGCGCGCGGGCCAGGCAAATAGGAAAAGCACATGCGCCTAAAAAGTTGTGGAAGTCGATCAATGGAGAGGAAGCGTGCTGCCAAATAATTTCCAGATGTCTAAAAAATGCGTTACTTTTTAATGATAAAACATGTTTGGACCCGTTTTTAGAACATGCTTTTCTTCCACAGTTTAAACACATGTGTAATCCAATGATCGGGTTGTTAGAGTGCCCATTGTCATGGCATCCACAACTAAAAAGGGAGCACTGCCGCAGCGACTCAGGTTCCCCACCCCAGCTGACCAAGCTCCGCGGCACGGGGCGCGGAGTCGGGTGACCGACCTCGGAGAACGCCAGCCGGCCACCCGAGGCCATGGCGAGTCCGATGCCACGCGGCCGCGGGCGCCCAGATCCAGGCCCCCCCAAGTGGGCCCGAGGAGATGAGGTCGGAGGATCTCGCCGCATCGCCAATGCATCCGCGATGCGGCTCGATGTGGACCCCGATGTGACCTCGATTTGGCGCCGATGCATCGCCAACGTTGCCCGTCGGCGATGCATTGGCGATGCGGCGCGATTCTCCGACCCCATCTGCTCGGAACCCGTCTGTGAGGCCTCAAGTGGCGCTATGTTTCAGTCATGTAAACAACATTTTTAAGACATGCTTGGAACGTTTTTTTTTCCGACATTGTAAACTCATTTTTGAGTTCAAGGATAGGACTGTTAGGGTGTCCATTGTCGTGGCATCCACAACTATATATACCGGGCTCCTTGGCCGACCTAACGACTTGGCGTACGCAGGCATCCGACGATGTTTTTTTGTTCCAACGCTCGGCTCCAGGCTAGTCCTGACCGCTTCCCTGGGGTGTTTTCTTTGTCCTGGATCCCTTTCTCATCGTCCCGGGGCCCCCTAACCAGCTCTCGAGGCCGAAATCGAAGGAAGCCGTGGGGATTGAAACAATTTCATCGTCGTAGATCTGGGTATACATCGAGCCCCTCCCAGGCCTCCCCCCTCTCACTGCGCCGCCCAGGCGGCCCTGCGAGCGGCCGTCGCGTGCGGCCCCCCGCCCCAGCATTAAGTCGGGCCTGTCCCTCTTCAGGAGGAATATTCAAAAATAGTAAGACAATCATCAGGGGACGATTTTTTGATTTTTTAATGCAGTTTGTGAATATGTTTTACTTTTTCCTCCGAAATCCCCCTGTATCGGGGGCGGAAAAGAGGGGGGTGATGACTAGGGGGGGGTGGATATCATGGCGAGGGCCATGATATTTCCCCAGATTTCATGGCGCCTCTTCTTATTTCATTTCGTCCCTGGCCCCCCCGCTGGGCCGCGCACATGCCGCCGGCCATGATTTGCACCCCCCCCTCTTGCACACCCCCCTCTTGGCTGCTCCCGACTGTAGGAGGACAGGCCCGACTTAACCCAAGCGCACCTCCCGCGAGGCTTCCCGGCGACGCTGCGGGCCGACGCAACGGCCGAGGACGGCAGCGCGTCTCTGGCGAGGAGGCCGTCCCGGACGCCGTGCGCCGGGCCGGAAGGAGTCGCGCCCGCGGCTGTGGAGGGCGATCAATGGAGAGGAAGCATGCTGCCAAATAAGTTCCAGATGTCTAAACCATGTCTCACACGTGGTGTAGAGGAATCTGGACGCCCGAGATGGGCACGGAAAGAATGGGTACAATGTCCAACAGCAGTTCCTGTTCATCTTGAACAGGATTCGCTGTCCGCGCCGCCGCTGCCTGCGTCCATTCGAGACAAGAGGCCGCCTACCCAACAGCGGCCGCTGTTGAGTTGGGACAACATTTGTTGTTGGGGATTGTACCCATTCTTTCCGTACCCATTTCGGGCGTCCAAAGATCCCTGGAGAGGAAGCGTGTTGCCAAATCATGTCCAGATGTCTCAACCATGTATGACACGTGGTGTAGACGTGTAAAAAAAAACGTGGTTCAAACATGTGTCGAACATTTCTCCTACGCTTTAAGCACATATTTGATTCAAGCATAGGACTGTTAGGGCGTGGCATCGTCGTGGCATCCACAAGCCCACGGGACAGGGGCGGCGGACGGCGGACGGCGGTCGGACAGGCCTGTACAGGATCGCGACAGTTCGCTCCAGAGCGTTCGAGAGCGCTCTGGAAGGGGTTGCGGCGCCCAGAGTCACTCTGGCGTTCTGATGTTTCAACCTATATTTTAGCCTCGATCACCAGAAAGACTTTCGAGCACCAAGGAAGCACCGAAACTCGTTTTGTTGTTTAGGCTCGGGCCCTCGGAGGCGACACTGTCTCGACGTTTTTCCCTACCTAGGCTCTGCCTAGAAGGGTTCTTACTCGGTGTGCTTAAAGGGCCGGGCAGTGGAACGCGCCCCGGGCGGATCCCCCAGTATCCGCCCCGCGGTTCCCCCAGTTACGTCCCCTTAGCTTAGCGTTGCTTATCTCATCTTAGCTTAGCTTCTTTCATCTTAGTTTAGCTTAGTTTCACATTTGCTCAGGTGTATCTTAGCCAGCTTACCTTCATCTTAGCTTCGCCGAGTTTTAGCATAGAAGAGCCAAGCACAGCATAGCAGAGCGTAGCACAGCATAGCGCAGCACAGCATACCATACCATAGCATAGCATAGCATAACGCATAATAGCATTGCATATCATAGCGCAGCACAGCACAGCACAGCACAGCATAGCACCGCGCAGCATAGCCTAGCATAGCATAGCATAGCATAGCATAGCATAGCATAGCAGTGCAGTGCAGAGCATAGCGCAGCATAGCATAGCATAGCATGTCATAGCATAGCATAGCATAGCATAGCATAGCGCAGTTTAGCATACCATAGCGCAGTTTAGCACAGCATATCATAGCACAGCATAACTTCGCACAGCGCAGCATGACATAGCATAGCTTAGCATAGCATAGCATAGCAAAGTATAGCGCAGCATCACATAGCATAGCATTGCATAGCGCAGCATAGCATGGCATAGCATAGCATAGCATAGCATAGCAACTAATGCTGCTTTCCTAGGGGCTCCAACTTCTAGGTAGGGTCGCACTGGGGTAATTTTGTTTAGGCTCGGGCCCTGGGAGGCGACACTGTCTCGACACTGCTTCGACACCTTTCTGGGTGCTCGAAACTATTCCTGGGATGTGGCCCTTGATTGCGATTGGCGCAACATAACTCTGGCGTTATGTCGGGCCCGTCCCTCTACAGAAGGACTATTCAAAAATAGTAAACAAAATAGTCTGGGGAATATTTCCCTACCTAGGCTCTGCCTAGAAGGGTTCTTACTCGGTGTGCTTAAAGGGCCGGGCAGTGGAACGCGCCCCGGGCGGATCCCCCAGTATCCGCCCCGCGGTTCCCCCAGTTACGTCCCCTTAGCTTAGCGTTGCTTATCTCATCTTAGCTTAGCTTCTTTCATCTTAGTTTAGCTTAGTTTCACATTTGCTCAGGTTTATCTTAGCTAGCTTACCTTCATCTTAGCTTCGCCGAGTTTTAGCATAGAAGAGCCAAGCACAGCATAGCAGAGCGTAGCACAGCATAGCGCAGCACAGCATACCATAGCATAGCATAGCATAGCATAGCATAGCGCAGAATAGCATAGCATAGCATAGCGCAGCACAGCACAGCACAGCATAGCACCGCGCAGCATAGCCTAGCATAGCATAGCATCGCATAACAGTAGCATATCATAGCATAACATATCATATAATATCATAGCATAGCGCAGCATAGCATATCATCGCATAGCATAGCTTAACATAGCACATCGCAGCATGATATAGCATATCATAGTTTAGCATAGCATATCATACCATAGTATATCATACGTAGCACCCCGCAATTGCGGATAAGAGTGAGGGGGCGGGCGCGGGCGACGCGGGCGTCGTCGAGCCGGCAGACCTCGTGGCCCCCACCTTCCCTGTCGATGGCGCTCTCCTCCTCCTCCTCCTCCTCCTCCTCCTCCTCTTCCTCGTTCTCGTCCTCATCGTCATCGTCATCCTCCTCCTCCACCTCGTCCTCCTCCTCCTCCACCTCGTCCTCCTCCTCTTCTTCCTCGTCCTCCCTCTCCCCCCCTCGTCCTTTTCATCATCGTCCTCCAATTGTCGTCCTCCCCCTCATCGGCCTCCATCATCGTCCTCCCATTGTCGTCCATCAACATCATCATCCTCCCCCTCCTCCCCCTTCTCGTCCTCCTCCTCCCCCTCCTCCCCCTCCTCGTCCTCCTGCTCCTCCTCCTTTTCTTTCTCCACATTATCCTTATATCCTCTCTTCTTCCGCGTCCTCTTCGTCCCCTGTTTACTCATCCTGCCTCCCCCTCTTTTCCCAAGAAAACTGCAACGCAATCCTTTTTTTTCCACTTTATGCTCCCCGACTTCTCTGATCAAGGCAACCCGCCAGGGCAAAGTTGCTGGACGGGCTGGTGTGGATGCGCGGGGGTTGAAGAGGTCCTTGCGGGCTCAGACGGCATGCGAAAATCCGCCGCCGCGCCTGTGCGGCATTGGTTTGTTCAGTGAACGTGGTTTGGTTCGCGGGTGGGTCGCGGGCCCTCCACCTCCACCTGGAAGAAATGCAAAAGCAGCCAGCCGCAGGCGCTCAAACAATTTCTTTGTACACTGAACGTGGTTTGGGTCGCGGGTGGGCCGCGGGTTCTCCACCGGGAACGAATGCAAAAGATGCCCGCCGCAGGCGCCGAAAAATGTGCTTAGTGCCCTGAACGTGGTCGCGGGTGGGCCGCGGGCTCTCCACCTGAAACGAATGCAAAAAATGCCCGCCGCGGGCGCCGAAAAATGTGGCTTGTACCCTGAGCGTGGTTTGGGTCGCGGGGTGGTCGTGAGTTGGTCAGAGGGTGGGTCGCGGGCTGTCCACCTGGAAGGAATGCAAAAAAAACCGCCGCAGGCGCCGAAAATGGTGGTTTGTACCTTGAACGTGGTTTGGGTCGAAGGTGTGTCGCGGGCGGGCCGCGGGGTGGGTCGCGGGTGGGTCGCGGGTGGGTCGCGGGTGGGTCGCGGGTGGGTCGCGGGGTGGGCCGCGGGCGGGTCGCGGGATGGGTCGCGGGGTGGGTCGCGGGGTGGGTCGCGGGGTGGGTCGCGGGGTGGTTCGCGGGGTGGGTCGCGGGTGGGTCGCGGGTGGGTCCCGGGTGGGTCGCGGGGTGGGTCGCGGGTTGGGTCGCGGGTGGGTCGCGGGGCGGGTTGCGGGTGGGACGACGACAACAAACAACAACAACAAACACAACAACAAACAACAACAACAACAACAACAACAACATAAACAACAACAAACAACAACAAACAACAACAACAACAACGAGAATCCGCACCGCGGAATTCCACTTCAGCCACGCACCCAGGGACAATGAATGACCGTTCGGCCCCGTCACTCTCATCATAACATAGCGCAGCATAGCATAGCAGAGCATATCATAACGCAACACAGCATGGCATAGCATAGCATAGCATAGCATGGGAACTCATGCTGCTTTCCTAGGGACTCCAACTTTTAGGTAGGGTCGCAATGGGGTAATGTTTGAGTATTTTTTCCATATTGGAGCATTTTTTGCATATTGTTCTGTTTCCTCGAATATCCCGCTGTAGGGGGACAGGCCCGACTTAACTCTGGCGCGAACTCGTCCGGGTCCCAGCTGCGCCGTTGGCGGCGGCCGCGGCGGCGCCGAGCGCGTGCCCCGAGGCAGGAGCCGCGCGGGAGGCCGCCGCGCTCGCGCGGGCCGGGCGTGCCGGCGCGCGCGCGCCGCGTCGTAGCGTCGTAGTCTTAAGTCGGGCCTGTCCCTCTACAGGGGGGAGAGTCAAAAATAGTCAAACAATAGTCGGGGGACGATTGTTCGGTTAATCTGGGCCATGTGAGAGTAGCTTGTCAGCCGTTCTTCTCCGTCCAAGCTCCGCCTGTAAGGGGACGTGCCCACGTAGCGTCGTAGTCGGGGGGCGCGCGCGGGGCGAGGGTTGCTCGGCCGCAGCTCGGCCGCAGCTCGGCCGCATCCTCCAAGGGCGCCCTCGCGGGTTCGTGCCCGCGCGCGTGGGGGCTGCTTTCTGCGCGCTGCCCGGCAAGCGGTCGGAGTTCGGGGCGAAGGAAGAGAGGTGCACATGCACAGGTCCTGTCCAGGCCCATCCTGGGCTCCAGGACGGGCCAGTTGGCTTCTTCCAGGAGTTGGGGGGGCCCGCGCGGGCGAGGGCCGCTCGGCCGCACCTCCTGGGGCGCGCTCGCGGTTCGCCAGGCGGGCGGCCGCGCAGGAGTCGGCTGTGCTCGCGCACGGGCCTCACCGCGAGTCGCGTCGGGCGGCCCTCGCGGCGAGGGTCGCTCGGCGGGGTCTTGTGGAGCGTCTTCGCAGACCTGCGCCCGGGAGGCCGCGGGTTCCGCTGGGCGGGCGGCCCGTGCGCGCGCGCGCGTGACAAGGCCTCACCGCGCCCCGCGCCTCGTGGCTCGAGCCAGAGAGTTGTTGCTCTCCACCTGGGCCGCGCGTGACCGCGCCGTGCGCGCTCCAGTCCTCCGGCGCGCGCTCTCGCCCTGCCGCGGGCAGGGGGCGCGGCCCTGGGCGGTCCGCCCGC